CCGAATGCTCTTCAAGGGCTGCCCCATGTAGAGCGCATTGCAGTAGTCCAGTCTTGAGGTCACAAGGGCATGACCTCAAGGGGGCATGCGGAGCCATTTTTCAGGGCATGCGCGTGCTGGCCAGCCTTCTTTTGAGGCTGTTTTTCACCCTCTGGGAGAAAAACCGGCCCTACGAGCAAACCAGACGTTCAGGAACGGACTTCTGGTTCACTCGTAGGACTATTCTTTCGCCCTCCGGAGGCTTCAGGAGGCTTCCCTGAAGGCTCCGGAGAGCAAAAAACGATCCTATGGACAAACCGGAAGTCCGTTCCTGAAATTCCGGTTTGGCCATAAGGTCGTTTTTCACCCTTCGGAGCCTTCAGGGAAAATCCTGAGGCCTCCGGGGAAGCAAGGGAGGCTGTTTTCACCCTCCCTAAGCTCCTAGAAAGCCTCTGGAGCAGTGTTTCTCAACCTTGGTCCACCTGAAGATGTGTGGACTTCAACTCCCAGAATCCCCCAGCCAGCTCTGCTGGCTGGGGGATTCTGGGAGTTAAAGTCCACGCATCTTCAGGTGGACCAAGGTTGAGAAACACTGCTCTGGAGCCTGGGGAGGGTGAAAAAACCACGGCAAAAGTCGGGTGGGTCTCTGGTCATGTGCAGGTGAGTGAGTCTTGCACATAGCATTATGGGTGTGGCATGCCGGTGCACGTCCCCCCCCTGTGCTCCCCCCCCCGCTTTTGGCATGGGAGCCAAAAAAGGTTCGCCATCCCTGTTATAGATATACCACATTCTTTCAACCTGGAGCAGCCATAATTTTGAATTTAAAAGCTTATTGTAAATTACACATTTTGATTTGTATAAGCCTAGGTTGGTGACTGTTGGGGGCTTTTGGGTGGCATGGGTAAACCTAAGATTTCGATTAAACGCACAAAGCAGGGTAAGATATTTAGCAGATTGTGGGAATGCTGATACTCGGGGAAATATTTAATGTAGCATTTCTGTCTTGAGTTTTCACATATTTGTTTAGAGTAGGGGAAAAGTCCTGGTAGCCCTCCAGATATTGATGAACAACACCTTCCAACAACCCCTGCCAATAAGAAATTGTAATTAGCAGTGTCTAGAGCAGTGTTTTTCAACCACTGTGCCGCGGCACACTAGTGTGCCGTGACATAGTGTAAGGTGTGCCGTGGGAAAATTACTTTATATATAGT